TGAACGCCTATTAAGTCTCCATTCAAACTTCACTCACTGCATAATTCTGCAATTTTAGCCTCTGGCGCCACACCTCCTACTAATGATGGATGTGTTTATAATACCAACATGATTCTTTGTAGAGGAACGGACAATAGACTTAGACCCTAATTAGTTGGAAACCAAGACAACACTTTTAAACGACCTATCGACCGGCACACCACGAACAGACTCTACGTTTACGTAAACGACGCGTGTTTAAAGCCAGCGATATTCAGAGCAAAATGGCCGCGGGGTCTCAGAAATTTTCCAGTCCGAGCACTTCAATAAAACGGTTTAGAATTAATTTTAGACAGGACCAGACCGGATTACGTAATAGGCTATAGCTGGAAAGAAAATAAGTACCACACTTTTAGTAATATTAAGGACATTAGAACAGTTAGCCGAAAGCAGAGTCTAATTTGAAAACGCTTTTAAAAAATCGGATTCTTGCATCGGGGAAGAATCCTTCTCACTAGGTACAACCATTTTCTAACGTGCCTCGAGATACTTTCGCAGTCCAGACTGAAAGTTCGACTTGATACGCTCTCTGAGGGGGGAAACTCGAAAGATAAAGACATTTTAATCTCTACCCCAGAAGCACCGCTGGAAATACAAAAAATATGTCAGAGTCAGAGGACAGTTGACGAACGGGAGACAGGTCAGCGAGTGTTGAAGACGCAGCGGCCAATGAATATTCGAGTTCAAAGATCACATCAACCAGCGTATCCGTAACAACAGCAGAAACGAGTGTGTCATATAAAAATGCCCTACAAAGACAGATCGTGGACCGAGTCACATCAACCAGCGTATCCTTAACAACAGCAGAAACGAGTGTGGCGTATAAAGGTGCCCTACAAAGACAGATCGTGGACCGACGTAAACGTCTAACGGAGAACGACGACGTGGAGGTATATGTCTGCCTATTGAGTGATTATTTTATCAGAACGCATCCAAAAATTGCCCTTAACGCTGTATTTATCTTCGCGAGATACCTCTTTAAACTTTCCTACGCTTCAGGATCTGAATTTCAAAAGGAGAAACTTTATTAATTATTAAATTTGTAGCTTGGAGTTACAGATTATCCTCACCAGCTATCCTTCAAAAGGAGAAACTTTATTAATTATATTGAACTTTCTAATTTTGAAATATGTCGATGTTGGGGGATTCACTTTAAACACTAACCACAAAACAAAAACCATAATAGCAATGTGTTGTTAAATTAAGGCTGTGCTATTCCACTTCGTAATATCGAGTCGTCTAAGTTCAACGACTGAGACAATTAGCAACAGAAATCAGCGAAGACCAACAGCGTCAACTGAGTGAATGTCGTTATACAACCACAGTACCTGACTTCATTTATACTAAAACGCTCGTCCATAATAAGGCTTTACTTCATCTGGAACAGTTTACAACTTTGCAGTTTTATTGTACGTAAGTTAATAAAAACAGCTCTACTTGAAGTGTTCATGGGATTTGCTTAATACTTTAGTAAATCTTATAAAAATTTCGCGTGATTTGTGTATGGATTTCAAGCTGATTCTGCGTCGCTATCTCCTTCCTGTACAAATGGCCCAGTTTCCACTACAGGGCACCGCTTGGTACCGACGTTGTGACGAGGTCTGTGCCCACACACGTTACATAAATCATGTTCCTTGTCATATGTACATCACACGGCCTCTTCCCTTACTTTCGATGCGCTCAGTATGAATGAAGTCACTTCATGGTAATGTCCGTCGGCCAGATTCAGTTAACAGTGATCTGTGAAATTTAGTGTGGTAGTGTATCAAACTTTTCACTTTTGTTCGCATGGGTCAAATAGGGTAATTTAGGGATATCTCGACACCTTACGAAAAAACTCTAGGCTTCATGAATAGTTTTTGAAAATTAAAAACAGAAATTTTCATATATTATCCATGGACGTATGTTTTATTTGTAATACAATGTGAAGTAAAGTGAACAACGTATCATAAGGTTCATAACCACAAAAATATATATTAGGGAGAACTCGACATGTCGAGTTCTCCCCAGTACACTGTGTCGAAACCTCCCTGACTTACACGATTACAATACACATGTCACCACTGGTCACAGTTGAAGTTTTTGTCAGTTCACATAGCATGGCTGTCCTTTAGAAAGTGCGAGTTGTCACCACAATAACTATTAATCCATAAATGCCATGTGCATCCAGTGTAATTATCATTATCTGGAATGTAATTATTATAGCATGTGCTATTTAGGGTATGTAAAACTCACCTGGTCGTCTTTGAGGGTTCCGTACGAGGTTGAGACTTGCAAAAACAGACTCCTTTGAAGTTGCACGTTGATCACAGTATGGTAGGCTATCTTCTGTACAGTTACAGTCTTTGCCACTACAGTGCAGCTGTCGCTAGAGTGAAATTTGTTAAAATTGTCGAGATCTCCCTAAATTACTATATAATTCTTTCCTCCACATGTTAAGAAAATCATACAAGTTTTATTGGATTTTCATATGGAAATTTGTCTGGGAGTATTCGTGTCTTGTACTACGAAAATCAATGTATCTCAGGCGCATATTCGCTGATTTTACGAACAGCTAAGCGTCTCAATAAGCATTTATTTACGTACACTTTCAAGCAAGGAGCGGGGACATGTTAGAAATCTCGTTATTTCCTTCATTAACTGAATAACACAAACAGAAATCTCAACCCTCATCATTAAACATTACAACGCAATATTCACACCGTTTCAACTCCGTTCACACACGTGACGTCATTGCAGACCCTACAACGCTCTCATCGACACGAATTGCGTCACGAGACGACGCCAAGTGCATCGTTTAACATATTTCAACGTAAAAGCGTCTAGTCACCTGAGCAGGCATACAGTTGCTGTTAAAATGCTATGTTTATTGGTTAAATTCAATCTTGACATCCATCATAATAGAAGAGTGTCTGAAGATAGACACTGACTGAAAGATAGACCACTTATGCCCGAAACACGTAGCTCAGCGAAATAATCGTCAGGAGATGACGTAAATGAGCGCGCAGCTCGTAAATTTACAAATACTGTCGCTCGGAGACGTTTACTTCAACAACAATATGTTTACATAATGTTACAACACCACGCAATGCCTTCGGTCCTTCATGATTAATGCAAACACCATGAACGGACTAACTCCACGGCGCAGTCTTCCTTTAAGGACCTGTTGGTCTCTCAACTCATTAATAATATTCTAGCGCCGCTTGTGGAACTCGGAAGGTCCATCGCCATGTTCACAAAAGCCCGCCACCTGTCCCCGACCTCATCAAGACCAATCGAGACCACACCCACGTACCATATTCCGCAAGGCCCTGAGCGGCGAACCATTTTAGTAGAGTCTATTATTCAGAGTCATCGATGGGGAGCTGCAGTTGGACTCTTCAACTCCAATTCCTCCGGTAAGTGCACAGCCCATTTCTGGCGAATGCAGCGACAGACAATCAGGAGTCACATCTATTAGTCTCGAACACTTAAAGATAACCACCTGAAGACGAACAATTTTGGTCGAAACATGCAGCGGATCTTAATATACATTGAGATTATAATCAATAATTCATGTGCAGACGGACTGCCAACCGGACGATTAACACACGACAGGATGCATCCCTTAAAATACAACGCGGCAGTTTCAAATACGGCTTTAGCAGTTATTTATTATTTATTTATTTAGTGTTCTGTCTGACGACAGGTCCATATGA